AGTGCCTAAGACACTTGAATGCTTACCAGAAGGATGGCGGTTCAAACCCACCAGCCACTCCTTGGAAGGAAGGTTGGGCAATCTACTTTTGTGGTGATACCACCTTGGAAACCCAAGGAGTGGTACTATGAGTCCAGTCCAACTTGAGGGCACATAACAACAAAAATCATGGGATTTCTTACGCTGCTATCTTTATGGAAGCAGATTTTTACATCTTTGTCCCATGGAGCAACTGGTGGATTTGAACTGCCAACCTTTTGGTGAGCAGCTGAGTGCTTAACCATTGTATCACCAAGGCTCCTTGGACACAATAACACAGCTCACTATTACTGAGCCCTGCTGGTATTCCAGGTACCTTTCTAAGCACATTCATTTAATCCTCACAACAACCCTATGGAGGATTTTCTAGTAGTATCCCTATTCAGGATAGGGAACTGAAGCACAGAGAAATTGCCTTAGATCTATCATCATAAGCAGCAAAGCCAGTGTTTGAACACATGCAGTCTTGTACCAAGGCCCACATCTGTAACCTCTACTCTTCACTGGCTTATGTGAGAGTCATTGTCTCTTCTGAAACTTTTCAAACTATGTACAACAAGGAAGGATGACTGTCTGGCAGAATATATTTTTATTAACTTTTAATGTCAAAAAGGATTTATTGTGATTTTTATTTATCTGTGATGAGATGTAGATGACTGAGCTTGTATTGAGAGACAATTTGGAAGCACTTGCCTACCCACCCAACTGTTTTATTGTTTATTTTGCTTATAATCTTTAAAACTTACAGAAAGATTAAGACAAAACAAAATAAAAAAAAAACTTGCAGTTCATATGTGTGTTTTGTAGACTTATATTTTTCTGCACCTCCTAAGCTTTCTCTTTTGATAATTTGAAGCTAAGATACTTTAAGTATAGAATCCAATCTTAATTTGACAAGATGGAAATACTTCAGAACTGATGGATTGATTGTCATACAGTGTTCACCAAGCTTTAGAGCTCCTATTTAATATACCCACAAAAGGATAAATCTAGCATTGGTAAACTTAAAACTGCACAGTCAATATTGAATGTGGCCACTGCAGAAAAAAATTTGCAGAAGTAGGTGCTCATTGGTTTACCACTGGTCTAGGATCAAGATCTTGGTCTCCATGGAGAGCCCCTCAACTTTGTCTTCTAGTACACAATGGATCCATAGTTGAGTGCCCCATTACCCCCAAAAAGGTCACATGGTATTTTTTTTTTTTTTTAATTGATTGAGTACGTGTGAGCAAAACCAAAAAAACCAAACCAAACTCAACAGCCGTTGAATCGGACCTGACTCATAGTGACCCTTCCTTGGGTTTCCGAGGCAATATCACCATGGAAGTAGATTGCCCAACCGCCCTTCCAAGGAGTGGCTGGTGGGTTTGAACCGCCAGCCTTCCGGTTAGCAGTCAAATGTGTTAGGCACTATGCCATCAGAGCTCCCACATGTTAACAAGCAAAACTAAAAGAAAAATGCCCTTGTATGACTCAGGGCTTTTTTTTTTTTTTCACATGCGCTTGAGTCATTATCAATTCAAAGCGATCCATATGGGTACAGTAAACCAGA